TATATACATATACAATATATATACATGATATATAATGTATATCATTCACTACATTACCATTTCCAGCCTATACCCATCTCACACCAGGTTCCCTTGCCATTTTCATTACCCAAGCATTTATCCCGAGGGAGCTCAAGGCACAACACTATCCAATACAACTGGTTTTCCACTTGCTGATTTGATGAAACAAGTAATTAATTATTATGTTAACAATTTTATTGATGCTTTGAATGGTCAAACATTTTATTCTGAACTTCGGATACAGCAGATGCTCAATAAAATCAACTGAAGTATTTCAGAATATTTCAATCCACAAAACAAGCAACCAACCACCTTTTCTTAAAAGCACAGGATGACAAAACAATTTGAGCTTTGCAAATCTTCCTGCATCTAGAAATTCCGTATTTCTTGTCAGTTTTAACACTGGGACCAGGTTTAATATTGGTGTATAGCTGAATGCCTCTTCCAAAAAAAGCAGGCCTTTTCAGAAATAACATTGCTATCTTCCAACACAAGGGGCAGTGTCAGCTGGGTACTGCTCTTGCATCACCTTACTCACACACAGACTACTTTTTTCCCCATAACCTTTATATTACTTAACGAAGCCTGGTGATATAATCTTGTTTCCCATAAATATGATTGTGTGACTATGAAAAAAGGCCAGAGTAGTTCTTCCCCAGAAGCCTATGGAGTTAAATAAGAAAATTAATTTGGTTTAGATATGCTTATGTTTTTTTCTTTCCAAACTCAAATACCAGAGCACTCGCAGAAAAGGCAACCTGGAAGTAAATTAAATAATATCTAGAAAAAGTAAAGCGTCAACCCATTAAGGTAATGATTTATTCCAATAATGTGACTGTGGGAATCATGTTTTCCCAAACAGGAAATGCATTCACAATTTTTGACTTGCATGTTTCCATGTAAAACAAAACTACCTGCCCAAAACATCTGCACGTGGAGTACTGCAAACCAACTTCTAACCTACCATGATTAGATTGAGATTTATCTGTAAAAATATTTAGCAAATAATTTCAAAGAAAAAAATTGATTCGAGAAATCCACCCGAGCAGGAAAAAGGCCTCAAGGCAAGCCAGTTATTCATAATGCATTGTATGTAATATTTCTACAGGAAGTTAAAAAGGCCAGGATAATACTTCAGGATGATGGTAGTACAATTGGGACACCTCTTTCCTTCTACTCCACAGTCAGGTAAAAGAGTTCTGCTACCACATAACCCTTTTCTCAGCTATCTATGATGGAAAAGGAGGAGTCACTGTGTAAAGTCTGGATTTCAAAACTCCTTATGACTCACCTCTAACTATAAGTTTCCTAAAAATGAAAGGTATCAGCCAAATGAAATAGGAAAGTTCATATTTCCAAAACCAAAGAGGAAATTTACGCTCCAAAATGTAAGCCAAGGCAAAATTCCAGCAGTACAACAATGCAGCAGAGCCTTGATTTCAGCCCAGATTTCTGCTGCCTGCTTTGGTATCTTAGATGTTTTATCTACTCTGTGCTAATCATGATTATGTGTGTTGTGAGTTCTCTGTAAGATCCAAAAGCAAGGCAAGACCGGACAATAAGGAGTGATTATGCTCAAAATTAACTACCTCTGACAAGTGTCCTTGGATTTAGAAGGATGTTCCAGTAAAGAGATAAAGACAGCACAGAGGAAAGCTGTGAATTTCAGCAAGATACATACTGGGGTCCCAGAGAAGTCTTAGAAGACACATTTAAATCTTCCAGTACGCAAGGACAGCTATTTAACTACAGTAGCAATCTCCTGACTCTTCATACCCTAAAGAGCTCTTCCTCCTTAATCCTGTGCTCAGACACTCCCATTCATGTGCAAGTCTTCCCATTTCTACTCATTGCCCTTAGAATATCCACCCTGCTGAAGTATAATACCCAGCACGTCCATCCGTACTGTGCAGGGTCAGCTGGTCTCACCAATAAGGGAATATGATTTGATGACATGGAATACAGTTCTTATTTACCACACATGCTCCTTATTTCTTCATGTTTTTAAAAAGAAGAAGGAAATACTCCCGTAGATTGACACAGTAATGGCTGATCTTTTAAGGTCAGTAACGTTGCAAGATAGGTAAATCATGGAGAAAGGAGGATTTAACTGTCCTCAAAGCAATGAAGCATTTTTGGATCACAGAAGCGAAGACCTCCTGCTATCCTCCTAGTTCTATTAACTTCTGTTAGGTTATTGTCTTACAGGATAGAAGGCAGCCAGTAGCACAAATTACTATTGCATGTACATTCCACAGTAAGCCTTAAGATGAGAGACCTCAAAGGCATCTGAGTAAGACAAGTGCTGTTCACAGAAATGACACAGTAAAGCAAAAATAAAGAATAACAAGAGAGGAAGGAAAGCACCAAGGACTAGACCGTAAAAGAAATACATTGTGTATCCAATACAGGACTCCGTCCTCATACCAGGACTCCAGTATCCTTCTTCAGTTTAGGCATTGGGCTCTGGTATAATTTTTCAGTTGGGGTGATGCCTTAATTCACCTGCAGTCCCACTGCAAGATGTCAAACAGCACGGCCATATCCAAAGGGGATATGTATTAAAACAAGCATTCCAGTTGTGTTTGTTCTGTAGGAGAGCTCAACTCCTGATGATGCCACAAGAGTACTTTTTGAGTGAAGGATGATAATAAGACCTTCGAAATTTAGCCCGGTGAGATTTTAAAAGGACTGAAGGAAAGAGAATCACCAAATATATGAAGAGATACAACAAGGGCAAAGTACCTTTGTCGGAGATTTTTGAGTTATGCTTTTGTTTGTAACTATCTGAAACAGAGAAAGAAATAGAGGGTGAATCTTACATGGGGGAGAGGAAGACAAAAGGCAGAGAAGCCAGAAAAAGAGAAGGAGAAAGAAAAATATAAGAGATGATTTATTATAGGGCAAAGGGAAGTGGAGTCTTGCTGAGGACTTAATTTTATGTCCTGCATGCAAAAACACCAGAAGCAGCAGCAGCAGCAGCAGGTGGCAAACATGCAAGTCAGAGAGTAGCAGAATATTTTGCTGGAAGGGAAAAGATGAAGCCCTGAGTGCACTGAGCTGGTAGGACCAGGCTGGAAGCAGAATCAGCTGTCTGGGTGCTACTTACTGTCACAAACATAGGGTTTGTCATGATCATCCTGGGAGGCAGCATCATTCCGTCTCCTGCCACCTCCAGAGCCCCGAGCCTGCAAGGACAAGAGGAATGTTAACGTTACTCCATCACCCCTCAGGTCTCCTCGTGCCCCTCACCCTCCTCTGAAAAATGTGCAATATAAACTAAACAAATCCTCGGCTTCCATACAGCTTTGTCAAGGGTGGCCTTCACCCTTCATCTCCTAAGATATGCACCGTGTTAATGGACCTTGTAATGCAGTGGAGGTACCTCCTCCACAGGTAACCCAAACTGTTCATCCATAGCAGTAGGTCACTGCCAGCACATATTCAGTTGAGTATCATCACACATTCATTTCTGAAGATGTTCAAATACCTTGTTTAACTGAATATGAATGAGTGAATAGATGAACAGGTGTTAGAGGATAAATACAACTATTAAATCAGACAGAAAACAGGCCCCAAATAAAACAGAGGTAAAATGATTTCCTTTAATATTTTCAAAGGTGGGTTGTTTGTTCTGTTCTGTTCTGTTTTCTAGCTGAAAAGCAATGTTTTGAAATGGCCTTCTGCAACAAAGATACCAAGGCTAATTAAAAAATGGCACTTTGGTCAGCTAGTGGAAAAGATTAGGTGCTGTGGCTACCTGCAATAACAGGGAATGGGAATTACCCAGAAAGGTCTCTCCGCAGTTCTGTGTTCCTACAACACACCAAGCTGGCAGCCCTGGAAACTGAAAAGCTCCGTTTCTCCACAGCACAGACTGCTCTGTCCTGAGCTCCAGGGGTAAGAGTGGAATTCAGCATCAAAGTTACGTGGTCCTGACCCTTCTCGGCTGAGATGCCAGCAAGGGGACAGTTGACATCTGTCCAATGGTGGAGGCTGTGATGGGGAACTGAGAACTGAGCCAAGGCCTTCAATTCTTTCACGTTCACTAATGTACAGTCTGTAGATGACAATAATTTTGGACTTGATCTTTAGTTGAGGAAGTGATCTGTGGGTGGATGACTAGATAGTCCTTTATTCATTCTGCCAGCTACTCTATACCTGCTTAAAAGCAGCAAAATTGTTTCTGCTGTTCCTCTTATTAAACTGTTGATGTTTCTCACCCTAGACAAAGCTGCCTGACTCAAATCCTTTGAGCTTTTGCATGTGAAAATAAGAAATAGACAGAGCTTCATCAAGTAAAACTGGAGAAGATGTAGAAATTCTGAGAATATTAGTGCCCCAGACACAAAGGGGTCATATCAGCTCTGTCCCTCTTCTGTGGATTTGGCACTGAACTAGCACTATTTGAGCTGCATTCCATCAGATACCTAAAGAGAAGGAACAAGGAACAGTTTTACACTGGCCTGCCACAGTCTGTCAAAACAGGGATTTATAAAAACTTCACACATTATTTCCCTGGGATTGCTCAGTTCTAACTCTTAACACAGTCCTGAAGGAAAGACATGGATCTGCAGCTGCCTGGATGGGGTAAATACTATTAGGTATGACAAGTACTGCTCTGCCTTCTGCAAAGACCCCTGTGCAGATCAGCACACACGTGCAGAGTGAGATTTGTAAGGGTGAACTGAAAAGCAGTTTCACCCTGGAAAAGGCCCCAGCAACAATTGTTTGGTGGAAGCTACTTCACTGACCATATCACATAAAATCATCTTACTAGTCTGCAATATTTGCTTTCTGACTGCCAGCTCTGTAAACCCCCTCCGGGCTATGAAATCAATCCCAGGCTAGTTTCTTTCTTCCCTCACTACTACAAAATGTGCTGCAAGCTGAATTCCAGTCCATGGCAGCTCCTGGACAACCCTCAGCTCATCAGAGAGTCTTCATAGAGACAAGGACTGGCCCTTAATAAATATTTCTGCTGATACCTGGATTAGGATCCAATTTCCCTACCCTACCAGCTGCATTGGCTTTTCAGGGCTGTGGAAAAGCTATAAAGTCTTATTTTTGTCACCAGTCAGTGGGTCTGACTGTTTACACACTGAGAACAGATCTGTTGAGTAAGAAGGTACTGTTTTTACATAGGCACCTTTCAGAATAGGGTGGTAATTTAAGGTCTGTTGCTCGGAGTTTCGCTAGTCTTCCAGCCAGCTGTTTCCCTTCAAACTGTTCTCTACAGCAACGCAAGGGCACAGCATTCGTGTCATGACCACACGTCAGATACACTTTTTCATGCACCGAACACACAGGGGGAGATTTTTCAAGTCAGTGACTTTCAATGGGACTTGGGTTCCTAAATGCCTTTAGTGCCTTTGAAATTGTCCCACGGGATATTCAGCTGACAAGCAGACAATCCGTACAGGTGCAGCCGCATTCCTCTTGTATCTCCATCAAACTATCCTCCCTGTCCAGCAAAGACACTAAAAAGCTCCTTCCGTAGATCCATCTCTTCTGTGTCCTTCCTAATGCTCCCACAGTTTCAGGGCTTGCTTTGAGGGGGTACTAAACCGAGCAGCTGCCTCAGAGGCACTAAATCGAGTGCCACGTGCTGGCTGTTGGTTGAATCCAGTCACCCACAGCTGACGGGAGGCAGTGCACAGTGTGAGACTTGAGACCTCATTCATGTTTATAAATATTTAAAGGGTGAGTGTCACGAGGATGGAGCCAGGCTCTTCTCGGTGACAAACAATGATAGGACAAGGGGTAACGGACACAAACTGGAACACAGGAGGTTCCACTTCAATTGGAGAAGAAACTTCTTCTCAGTGAGGGTGACAGAGCCCTGGCCCAGGCTGCCCAGAGAGGTTGTGGAGTCTCCTTCTCTGCAGACATTCAAAACCCGCCTGGACGCCTTCCTGTGTAACCTCATCTGGGTGTTCCTGCTCCGGCAGGGGGATTGGACTGGATGAGCTTTGGAGGTCCCTTCCAATCCCTGACGTTCTGGGATTCTGTGATTCTGTGATGTGTGAGGCCTGGAAGCCATGGCGCAGCAGCCTTGCAGCAAACCTGAAGCAGCCAGAGAGAGTAGCCAGAGGGACAGATGGAGAGTCCAGGATTAAAAATGAAATCATGCTACAAGGAAAGGAAGGGGCATGTGCAATTTGGAAAGTCCAGAGCAGTAATTACATCGCATTAATCCTGTATCGATGCTGTCAGCCCTTCTCACTCCTCTGAACCCCCCAAAGGCCACACTCCACAGGATCTAGTTTCCTATGCATGTCCTTCCCCTCTTCTGCCCTCTAAAAATAACCTAACC